AATTTTTTGAGTATATGGTTTTTTGAGAATATTCTTATTGTAAGTTTTTATTTTAAGTACTTCTTCTTTTGTATAGGCAGATTGTTTTTGAAATGTATTGTATCGTCATTTACTGTGTGATTCTCATTTTCTAATGTTTCGTCATCATATATTACATGAATAAATTCATCTTCATCGATCAGGTACTCAGTGAATACTTCTTGAGTGGTTTTAGTTTGGGACAAATAGATAAACAAATCAATAGTAGAATAACAAATAAATAAAAATATTGTAAGAAAAAAGATATTGAAGAAATCCATTTTACAAATTTATTTTTAAAAAAATACGATTTTGCAAGCTTAAAGGTGTTTCAATCGATTTTAAATAAATTAATTTTTAAATCACTGCATAATTATTCTTATGTATAATATTCTTTTAATAATTATAAGAAACTTGTTAATGATTCAAAAAAAAAAAAAAAAAAAAAAAGAGAAATTTTTTACATTTACCTGAGACCTGGTTTTTGCAAATGAACATACATTAGTGATTTTGAGGCTTAGCACGTGTATTGGAACGCGTTTTGTTATTCTTTGTTATTACATAATAATGATTATGTATTTTCTACAATGCAATTAAATGTAAATTATAAAAAAAAACTTGTTTATTCAAAGAAAAAATTTTTTTTTACATTTTCTCAAAATCCTAATTTTTTTAGCATTTTGAGGCTAGGCTAGACTTAGTACGCATATTAGAACACGCTTTGTTCTTTATGGTTCTGTATTTCCTGCAATGCAATTAAATAGAAATTATAAAAGAAAAACTTGTTTATTCAAAAGAATTTTTTTTACATTTTTTGCAAATCCTAATTTTTCGCAAATGTGCATTATCGTGCAGCATTTTTTTGAGGCTTAGTATGCATATTAGAATGTGCTTTGTTTTTTATGGTTCTGTATTTCCTAAAATCAATTAAATGGGAATTATAAAAGAAAACTTGTTTATTCAAAAGAAATTTTTTTTTATATTTTTCTTAAATCTTAATTTTCGCATATATACATTAATGCATAGCATTTTTTTGAGGCTTAGTACACGTATTGGAATGTGCTTTGTTCTTTGTATTATAATGCAATATAAATAATAATAATAAAGTATACTGAATTTATTTTTTTGTATAATATAAAGTTGTGAATTAAAAAATTTTTTTTTAATAATACATTCGGCACTATTATCTTTATGAAACATGTTAATTCTTTTTTTGTTATTATATAACTTAATACTGTAACAAAAGTATTGTTATAATATATTTTTTTTTGTAATACTGATAATATATTTTATAGAAATAATATCAATTTATATAATTCTAATATAAAAAACTCTCAATTCTAGTTTTTAGTGCATATGTTTTTTTTACAGTGGTACTATTATATGTTCCACTCTTTAGATGATCCCAATATATAAGAAACATTATTATTTATATTTATATTATAAGTAATGAAGCATTTAGATATCCATTCAATCTTAAATATATAAAAAGCCCTTTTTATTATCAGTATATTTTTAAATTAAACCCTTTGCTATTCAAAATTCATTTTCATACAATCTTATATCTCTAAGATTCAATTTTTATACAATATTATAACTTAACTAAAAATGTCTAAAC